TCATTTTATTGATTACTATACTATTTGTGGGTTTATTATACTGATTGTCAATGCTGCCTTGTTAATTTTTTTTTTCACTTTTTTGTGAAAATAAAGGAGAACGAAAAAAAGAAGGAAGAACCTAAAAGTCAATTGGGTTCTAGTGTGAATTTGTTTAGTGTATATTCTGCGTGATTTTATTTTTGCTTTCATTTCTCGAAAAAAAGTGATTAAAACAACGAGTTTTATAGAGGCTCAACTATGGAAGGTTCTGTAAAGCTTAGTAGGTTAAATTTTATTAGGTTATAGATCTACTATGCTTCCAAGGAGTTTACAATCATTTGAGAGGCTCAACAACCTATGTAAGGCCACTTCGTAAAATAAATCAAAGCTTAATAGATTAATAAAATAGAAAATGCTACGTTCACGTTATGATACCATTCTGTCGAATGTTTTAATCGCATCATAGCATTTCTTCAAAATTTGAATAGACTGTTCATTGTATCGTCACTTGTGTAAAATAATATGACCTCAATTTTTTGCCTTAATTATCGGAATATACACTTCTAATTACTTTTAGAACATTCAATATTTATAGGGTAAAAAACTTTTTCCCATTCGAACTATGACGATTTTTGCGTATCACCATATGAACTTTTTCTTTTAACAAACCACCACCTGAACTATACGTGTTTGTCAAATTGCCCTATAAACCGGACAAAAAAGTAGTTTTTATTAAAAAACTGATTTATGAGGGCATTTCAGAAATTTCATGTATTTTTCAAAAATAAAAGAAAAATGGAAAGAATGAAGAAAGAAAACAGCAACAACAACGACAGCCCTCTACACACAGATACGCACATCGATCACGTCCCAGCTTCAAAAACAAAAAAGCTCCGCTTTTTCGTACCTTCATTCTCAGCTTTCGTTCTTGGCTCGAAGCGGCGTGTGGTGCCCTCCGAGAGAAATCATCTGGCGGGCATAGGGTAGAACAAGTTCAAATTTGTTTGGTGATCGACTCTCTTTGTGCGATCGCATAATAAAGCTGAGAGATTCCCTGTTAAATTATTAATGCCCATTCTAGAATATGATTGATTGGTTGTCATTGATTGCAATTATTAGTTGATTAGTTGTCATTAGTTGGCATAATGATTAAGACTCTAGAAATCTTCTTTGTACACTATATATATGTGTGTGCTCGGAAGGAATTGTGTGCAAGAAGAAGAAGAAAAGAAAGTAACATATTTTGAATAACAAAGCATTTCAAGCTTCTTTCTTCATTAGTATCTCTACTAAAATTTCCCTCTTTACTATAATTTTATCCAATTTTAATTGTAAATTATTTTTGATACCAACAGTGGTATCAGAGCGCAGTTGGATTAATAACTGGGCGAAATTATTTTCCAATATCCTCCTATTTTTACATATCTTGTCCAAATACCCTACTTTCACATATCCTCTTACTTTCATATAGCCTTTTAAATTTTTATTATGGCCACTTCCCAAAACACCCATCAAATAGCAATTCATATTTTTTCCGGCGAAAATTATAATTATTGGGTCATTAAAATGAGAACATATTTTATGTCTCAAGGCCTATGGAATATTGTCGAGAACGAGTTTATTATACCCGATGACATTTCCACTTTGTCTACGGCGGACGAAGAAAAATTCGACCGGAAAAAAGAAAAAGATAGTTTGGCTCTTTTCACACTACAAACGGCCATGTCGGAGTCCCTGTTTCCGAGAATTAGCGGAGCACAGACCATCAAAGGAGGCGTGGGATACTCTCAAGGAAGAATATCAGGGTAGTGACAAGGTACGTCATCTGAAATTACAAACTTTAAGAAGAGATTTGGAAAATATGAAGATGAAAGAATCTGAGACCGTAAAAGATTACTACACTCGATTAAGAGAAGTAGTAAATCAATTAAAAGCATATGGAGAAAATATTACTGACAAAAGGGTGGTAAAAAAAATTTTAATTACTCTACCAGCCAAATATGATCCTATCGTCACGACGACAGAAGAAACTAAAGATTTGGATAATTTGTCAATAACAGAATTAATAGGTTCACTAGAAGCCTATGAAAAAAGACTGAGTATGCGTGAGAATGACACAGTCGAAAATGCATTTCAGTCAAAATTAAATTTACGGTCTCAAAATTCTAAAATTGGGGGGAGAAGATTTGGAGAAAATAATAAAAATAAAAATCAAGGTGGAAATAATAATAATCAACAAAAAGGAAAATATCCACCTTGTGGAGTTTGTAAGAAAACCAACCATCTTGAGAAGGATTGTTGGTACCGGAATAAAACACAATGTAAAAATTGTGGTAAATTCGGTCATGTGGAGAAAAATTGTCGCGCTAAAGAATATCAAGCAAATTTCTCTGAAGAAAATGAAAAAGGAGAAAATTTGTTATTTTATGCAAATCAAGCAACTTCAGAAGAGAAAAATGGTATTTGGTTCCTAGATAGTGGCTGTAGCAACCATATGACCGGAGATGAGAAGAAATTTAAAAATATAGATAGATCTGTAAAATCACAAGTTCGGATGGGAAATGGAGATCTAGTAGAAGTTGAAGGAAAAAGCTCAATAGAAGTCGAGACTCAAAAAGGTACTCGTCTCGTTGAAGATGTGCTGCTAGTACCAAAACTTGATACTAATTTACTCAGACTGGGACAAATGGTGGAAAGAGGATACACACTACTCTTTAAAGACTACTCTTGCACCATTTATGATAACAAAAAAAATCCCATAGCTGTAGTAAAAATGCAACAACGGAGAAACTTTCCGCTCCGTTGGAAATTCATAGAAGCAGCACTAAAAGCCGAAGAAGATCAATCATGGCTATGGCATAGAAGGTTCGGGCATTTCAACTTCAACGGGCTAAAGTTTCTCCATCAGAAAAATATGATGAAAAATCTACCGGACATCCAATTGAACGAAAATCTCTGCGAAAAATGCATGGAGGAAAAACAACATAGAAAACCATTTCCTTCAAGCCAAGCAGAAAGAGCCAAACAAATACTAGAGCTAGTGCATACAGACGTGTGTGGACCATTGAGGACGCCAACCTTCGAGAAGAACAGGTACTTCATTCTCTTCATTGATGATTATACAAGAATGACTTGGGTGTATTTCATGAAAGAAAGGTCCGAAGTCTTCTCTATCTTCAAGAAATTTAAAAGCCTCGGCGAAAATCAAAGTGGAAGAAGAATTAAAGTACTTGGGAGTGATCGAGGAACAGAATACACATCCAAGGAGTTTAACAAATCCTGCGAGGATGAAGGAGTCAACCATCAACTAACTGTCGACTATGCTCCAGAGCAAAATGGTGTGTCAGAAAAGAAAAACAGAACTGTACAAGAGATGGCCAGGACAATGCTCGCAGAGAAGAACATGCCTAAAGAATTTTGGGCAAAAGTTGTATACACTGCAGTCTATCTACTCAACAGGTGTCCTACTAAAGCTGTCCAAAATAAAACTCCAATAGAAGCTTGGAGTAGACGAAAACCGTCAGCCCAACATCCAGGGGCGTAGCCAGGAATGAAAAACACCCTGGGTTGACGACTGATAAAGCTACCACTTGAATGTACAATAAGTTGTTCGCTAATACACCTTTTGGTTCGGCTCGGGAAGGAAAGCTATAATATAACTCATTTAATAAACAAATCGAGTCAAGTTTGTTTGTGGATATCTATTTTACTTTTTGTACAAATATGGGACGGACAAATTAAGTTGTACACGTTCACGAATAAACACATCATGTTCATGAATAACTCGTGTATGATTTTTGGTTTATGGAACAAGCCGAGCTTGAACGATCCTTTGGCTCGTTTATTAAACGAGTCAAGCTGAGCTAGCTCGTTTATTAAAGATCACAAGCTCGTCCACAAATTGCTAGGTTCGGGTCGAGTAACACTACTAGTGACATGTATAAGACAAAAATATAAGAAGCTAAGTTTTAATTAAAAAGTGCATATAAAACTGTTTATGTTAATTATAAATATTCAAATTGCGACTAGAACCAACAAAAAAATAAATGTACATGTTTATGATGTGTCACTACAAAAAGAAAATTGGCATATTTCAAAAGAAAATTATACGGTAATATATTCCAATAGAATTCCAACGGATATTAAAATAGTATAGATTTCGTTGAAATGATTCCAACAAAAATTCTAACGAAATTATTCTGTTAGAATTAGTTCTCTATTTGAATTTTAGATAAATTTTAATATTTCTAATGATTTTTTACCATACAAATTTGTTGGAGTTTTTATTTCTAGCATATTTCAATCGTTGAAAAATCTACTATTGTAATCGTCAAAATCAAACAAAAATTCTAATGGCTAACTTGATCCAACGAAATATTTTTATTGTAATTTCTGTAAGAATCGTTGAAAAACTCTAACGGAAATAATAGCATTTAAATATATAAAGAAATTGTCATTGTTATTTCATTAGAATACATTTCTGTTGAAATTTATTGTTAAAATTTCATCATTTTTTTATAGTGTCTCAAAAATTTTAAAATCAAATATCTTGTTAAAATCATAATAATGCATTTTTTATATATAATATAATAGACTGGAGATTTTTTATACAGAAACAAAAATAGGAAAAAAAATATCTAAACAAAAACAGATTGTATATAATTATCCTTTTATTTGTGACCACAAGATAAAATATGATTTTTGTGGATAATGAAATAAAAAATAGAACAATAATGGGATACGAAGATACATAAAATGGAAAGATAATGGGATACGAAGATACATGTATATATGTAACAAAACTAGCATTTGGGCAATGATCACATCACATGGTTTAAATTCAACCTGGGCTATTTTTATGGATATGGGCTATTCCCTTTTCAAAACAATTCATGTAGCCTGGGCTGGAGCCCACCCCAGCCTTTGGGGTGGCTCCGCCCCTGCCAACATCTACGAGTGTTTGGGAGTATCTGTTACGTGCACATCCCAAAGGAAAAGAGACACAAATTAGAAGAGAAATCCGAGAAAGGCATATTCCTCGGCTATGCATCTCAATCTAAAGGATACAGAATTTACAGCCTCAAGACTGGTAAACTAATTATCAGTCGAGATGTAGAGTTCGAAGAAAATGCTGCATGGAACTGGGAGAAAGAAAAAGTTGAATACCAAAATATCATGGTACCTGCACGGCGGAGGCAAAATACCATACCAGAAGAACATGAAGCAGAAGGTTCACAATCACCTCCAGCTCCACAACCTTCAAGTCCGAGGACAAAAACACCATCAACTGAAGAACAGTCATCCCCAGAATCACCATCGAGAAAAGTACGAACACTCAGGGAGATCTAGAGACATGCAATTTTGTCACGATGGAACCTGAAAGCTTTGAAGCAGTAGTAAAGGAAAAAGAATGGGTAAAAGCGATGGAGGAAGAAATCAGGATGATCGAGAAGAATAAAACTTGAGAGTTGGTCGATCCACCAAACAACAAGGAAGTCATTGGTGTTAAGTGGGTCTACAAGACGAAGCTTAACCCAGATGTCTCAATCCAAAAACATAAAGCACGGGTCGCTAAAGGGTACTCACAATTGCCCGGGATCGACTACAACGAGACCTTCGCTCCAGTTGCTCGGCTAGATACTATAAGAGCTCTAATTGCACTTGTAGCTCAGAAGAAATGGAGAATCTACCAGCTTGATGTCAAGTCAGCATTTTTCAATGGCTATTTAGAAGAGGAGATCTATGTCGAACAACCTCAAGGGTTTGTGGCAGAAGGACAAGAAAATAAAGTCCTAAAACTAAAAAAGGCACTTTACGGATTGAAACAAGCACCACGGGCCTGGTATAGCCGAATTGATTACTACTTCACCAGTCATGGATTCAAAAGAAGCGAAATTGAGCCAACACTCTACATCAAGACCCAAGGTAACGACAACAAACTCATTGTTTCTCTTTATGTAGATGATCTTATTTATATAGGGAACAATGAGGAGATGATTAAGGAGTTCAAAGAAGATATAATGAAGACCTTTGAGATGACAGACCTTGGGCAAATGATCTATTTTCTCGGCATTGAGGTAAATCAAGAAGAAAATGGGATATTTATCTCACAGAGGAAATACACAGATAATCTACTAAAAAGGTTCAAAATGGACGGCTGCAAACCAGTGGCTACTCCCATGGTTGTGAACGAGAAATTCACCAAAGAAGATGGTACACCAAATGCAGACGCATCCACATAGCGAAGCCTGATTGGAAGCTTGTTATATCTAACGATAACAAGACCAGACATCATGTACGCAACAAGTCTACTATCAAGGTTCATGCAAAGTCCAAGTCAAGTTCACTATGGAGCCGCGAAAAGAATACTGCGATACTTGCAGGGTACAAAATACTATGGAATCCAATACGAATATAACTATGAGTCAAGACTGATCGGCTACACAGACAGTGACTGGGCTGGATCAACTGAAGACATGAAAAGCACCTCAGGTTACACATTTTCACTTGGCTCGGGCATATTCTCGTGGTCATCTAAAAAGCAAGACTGTGTGGCGCAATCCTCAGCAGAGGCAGAGTACGTTGCAACAACACTAACAACAAGTCAAGCTATTTGGCTAAGACGTATTCTTAGATACATGGGTGAACACCAAGAAAGTCCAACAGAGATATACTGTGACAACAAGTCAGCGATAGCAATGGCGAAAAATCTAGTACATCACAGCAGGACCAAACACATTGCTATCAAATATCACTTTCTACGTGAAGCAAAAAATGACAAGCAGATAAAGCTCATGTACGTCGCCACTGAAGATCAACTTGCAGATATTTTCACAAAGACTTTACGGCGACCAAGATTCGAGACTCTACGTAAAAAACATGGAATTATCCAAATGAGCATTAAGGGGGAGTGTTGAATTATTAACAATATTCTGAAAACCAAACCGGTCATCGAACCGGTCGAGCTACTGGTTCAATGGTTCACTGGTCCGACCGGTGTTTGAACCGGTCGAAAAGTTACTTAATTTATTAATATTTATAAATATTTTATAGTATTTAAGTATTAAATTACATATACAAAACTTTATAAATCATTAAGATAGAAGCTTCTATATTAGTTCAACCAAGAAATACAACATAAAATCTTCAAATATTATTCAATTTATTAATACAAAATAAAATAAAATATATATACACTACAAAAAAATAGAGTTGTAGTGAAGAATTTTTTTGTCACTATATTTACGATTGTTGTCACTATGTTGTCACTATATCTACTGTCAGTATATCTACAGTTGTTGTCACTATATCTACAATTATTGTCACTATATCTACAATTGTTGTAGATATAGTGACAATAATTGTAGATATAGTGACAGTACATATAGTGACAACACAGTGACAACAAAATTCTTCACTAGAACTCTATTTTCTTGTAGTGATATTTATATATTTTAAAAGTTGAAAATATATACATAAAGTCATGAGCTATTCTTTAGGCTAACCCTACTCACCTACCACTATCAGAACTAAAAAACAAATGGGCAAGTTAATAAATTATTGAGAAAAATTCCAAATTATATTCCCCATCTTCAACAACTACACCAGTCGCCGGAATAGCAAGGTGCCCAGGGAATCCGTTTCCAATTTTGCAGCGAGTTTTGCCTGGAAGAGCGGGAGGAAAATTGGGAATTTCTAGAGAGAGAAGAAACCGGAAACGGTGTCGTCGAGGAAGAGGACGACTGCGAATCCGAGTTTGCTTTCGTTGGAAGAGACTCCGGATTCCGTCGCCGGTCTTCGCCGTCGAGATTTTCTGCAACGGCCAGATCCGGGCTTCTGCAACAATGAATTGGGCCGCTAGTTTCAATCGGATCTTCACAAACGGGACATTTTATGCGAACCGTTGAGCCGTCCAACCGGCTCTGGTTTACCGGTTCAACCGGTTTTTCACCGGTTCCGACGGTTATTTCCCGCTTTTGGAAGTCAACGGCTTCAATCACTGAACCGGACCGGTATGAAGACCGGTTCCCGGTTGTACCGGTCGAACCGGCCGGTCCGGTCCGGTTTTGCTAACATTGATTATTAATGCCCATTCTAGAATATGATTGATTGGTTGTCATTGATTGCAATTATTAGTTAATTAGTTGTCACTAGTTGATACCCTGTGCACATGCACAAATGTACATAAAATATTATAAGTAATATTTGAGAATTTGATATTAAAATTCTAGACAATGAACATATTACATTTTCAAAAAATTGCTCATTAGAAAAAATAAATTAACGATTTTATTATTATGAACAATTGTTTATTATTATCATTAGATAATAACAGTTTGATTGTTGTTATTATTATTATAATTAAAAAACAATTGTTTATAAGATTAATTCTAAAGTCGTTTGACTATGATATTAAAATAATTTACTAATATTTAAAGAAATTTTTTCATGAGACACGAAGGAAAAAGATAAATTGATGTTAATATAAATAACTTGAAACAATTGTTTGTAATTATGTAATTTATATTTATTGTAAATTATTATTAGTTGGTATTGACAATAACTATTATATAACATAATAGAAAATATACATGATTACACTTAATAGGATGTATTAATGAGAAGTAAAAAAAATATTAATGGTAAATTTTGTAACCGAAAATGGAGAGAAAATTTTAGAGGTTTTATTAAATAGGTTTTATTAAATGTTATATGCTAGCAATTATATATATATAGATTCGTTGGCATAATGATTAAGACTCTAGAAATCTCCTTTGTACACTATATATATGTGTGTGTTCGGAAGGAATTGTGTGCAAGAAGAAGAAGAAGTAACATATTTTGAATAACAAAGCTTGATTGTTTATGAAATAATTTGTTTAGAATGAATTATTTTGGTTAATCATAGTTAATTTTGAAAAAGGTGGTATGGTTAGTTGTTAGTGGAATTTTAAGAATGTATTAAAATAATATTTAAAATAAAATGATTAAAGTTGATTTGATATAAAACTAAGAGAAATGATTGGAAATGATAGATAGTTAAAATTATGTGAATAGATGAATAGTGAATTAAAGTTGATGTGATGTGTAAGAATGATTGGTTTGTATTATTTAATTATATTAATAATATTAAAGATAGTGCGGTTGAGTTAAAGTTGATTTAAATTTTGAGTTGAAATAAAAGTGAGTAAATTAATTCATAGGGTCAAAATATTTTTCACCCAATTATATATCTATTCTTTCTTTTTCACACCACCCCGTCAAATAACTTCTTTTACACCATAGAATTCACGAAATGCTATGCGATATTACACTCGCATGTCCAAATGAACCAGCGCATATCCAATCGGCCGCATAATTTCTGACTATGCGTAAACATTTCGCATTTTTTAATCGTATATCCACATCAAACGCATAATTTACAAATGTGCGAACATCTTTCGCATTTTTAATAATCGTATATACATATCGAATGCAGCATAATTTACGATGATTATGCGCCTTCTTTTCGCAGGGCTATATGACTGCGAAACTATTTCGCATTTATTTCGCATAGTTTGTTGAATACGCATTTTCTGGTAATTGCATATCCAAGTCAATCGCATAATTTACTAATATGCGTAACAATTTCGCATATACCCTCCGGATAATTGACAATTATGTGACATTTTTTCT